CAATAATGCACTAGGTGGGTGTGCGCTCTTTTCTCTTTTTGTTACACTCTCATCATCTAGCTGTTGTGGAACTACAAGTCCCCTGAGACATTGCAAGACAGGCATCACTCCCAGAGACAGAGGCATCATGGGATTTGTAGTTTCACCACAGCTGGAATAGCAAGGTTGCCTACCACTGGCCCTGGTTCTCACCACAAAGCCTGCTAGCACTATTTTTACACAGTGCACTGGACCGTAACGCAGTCACTAATGTGCCTGCAAACCGGGTGCAGTCGATCGCACTGCAGGCGGGGGGCGTGGCTGTGGTGTTTTTGACTTCACGCCCCCTCCGGCCCCTGAACACACAGAGCCAGCCGGCTTGCGTAACAGTGGGTTCCAGAAGCCGAACACTCTGCAACGCAGACTTTGTGGTGTGTACTGGCCCTCTCTCTTCCCCCAGGGAGCCGGCCGGCTTTTGTTCCATAGGCCGCCGCTCTGGAATGCAGACTTTGTGGTGTGGACCGGCCCTAAGAGTAAAAATCCTTAGACATAAATCTGTCCCAGAACTTTGCAGATTGTCCCACTTGGCATCCCAGCAATACAGAGGACTGTAAACCCGGGGCAGAGACTTTGCTCTATGAGAGGCGGCCTGACTGATTGATTAATGTCCCCCTGTGAGTTCAGGTGGCTGACGCGGAAATGACGGTCACACGTGACTGACGCTCAGCCACAACACGAGGTAAAGAAGTGGACAAATATAAATATTTATTCAGCTTATAGAATGAAAATGATTTCAGATGGAATAGACTTTTGCAGAAGCCCAGTTACCCCTGGTTCTGACAACACCCTAAGCATGCGGGGAATTTGCAGGCTGCTGTGCTTTTTTTTTACAACTGCAATGGCGTAAGTGCCCATTCACACTGGGCGTTTAATCGCACGATTTCCGCCGCGATATATCACGTTTATTTGCAGCGCGACATCGCGAGAAGTCGCCGTCCAATGATTGTGGTGGAGCAGGCTCTGCACCGCTGGGAGTTGTGGTGGAGCAGGCTCTGCACCGCTGGGAGTTGTGGGGGAGCAGGCTCTGCACCGCTGGGAGTTGTGGGGGAGCAGGCTCTGCACCGCTGGGAGTTGTGGGGGAGCAGGCTATGCACCGCTGGGAGTTGTGGGGGAGTAGGCTCTGCACTGCTGGGAGTTGTGGTGGAGCAGGCACTGCACTGCTGGGAGTTGTAGTGGAGTAGGCTATATACTGCTAGGAGTTGTAGTGGAGTAGGCTATGCACTGCTGGGAGTTGTGGTGGAGCAGGCTCTGCACTGCTGGGGGTTGTAGTGGAGCAGGCACTGCACTGCTGGGGGTTGTAGTGGAGCAGGCACTGCACTTCTGGGGGTTGTAGTGGAGTAGGCTCTGCACTGCTGGGAGTTGTGGTGGAGCACGCTATATACTGCTAGGAGTTGTAGTCGAGTAGGCTATGCACTGCTGGGAGTTGTGGTGGAGCAGGCTCTGTAGTGCTGAGTAGACTGAAAGTAGTAGAGCGTCTTCCCGCCTGATTGGCGCGCACACATATATACATTCATTCACACAGACACCGGAGTCCCCGCCCATCCACCACCACATGTACCTCACGTCCAGACCCCCGTCCGCCGCCATCTCCTTCTCGCCCACCGCCGAGCACGTGACCCTCTACGTCACTTGCTCACCCGCCGCACTACAACCGGAGACCAAGTCACCGTTGCCGGAAATGGAGCGGCTTCGTGTGACGTCACTACCTGTCAGCTGGCCGGAGCTCAAGATGGCGCTGTCCAAGGTAAAGGTGGTAGAGGGTGCAAGATATGGGGCAGAGGCTGTACCGAGGAAGGGGGGAATCCAGGCACCGGAGAGAGCGGATAATGCCCGGATATTCCTCTTATCTGAGCTCTGTGACCTATGCCCAGACATGGACCGCTCCCCATTGTGTGTGTATATGGCTACAGCCGCCATCTTCCTGGAGTCCCTGATCTCAATTGTATGTGTTAGATGTAACATACAATCCCTGTGGTTAAACAGCCTCATTCATTGCCTATATTTGTATATACAATTCTCCCTCCTCGTTATATCCGTGTTATGCCCGGGTGTGGGAGTCCTTCCATTCTTCCCAAATTAAAGCCTGACTCTGTCCAGATGGATTTATTTATTTTTGATGCAGTGTGGAAGAGTTACAGTGTCTTTCAGGTCCTTCTATCTGTCTGTGACCCCCATCGTGGGAATTTTCCCTCACTTCCTGTCCCGGTGCACCCATACAAGAAATGGGATGTGCAGTTGTCAGCAGGACAGGAAGGCATGTTGGGAGTACAGGACTGCGCACCATCCCATGTACACTTGTAACTAGGGATGCATCGATACCGAGTATTTGGGCGGATACTTGTACTCACCCAAATGCGCTGATACTAGAACGTCCGGACAGAGCCTGGAAGCTGTCTCCATGCTGTTTGGCCACTCGATGCTGATTGGCCAGGAAGCCGGCTTCCCTGCCAATCTGTGTGGAGCCGGGCAAGCAAATCTGACAATATGGTGACACGACCCGCACCCTGCAGACAAATCATTCCCCTCACATAGATCCTTAGGAGCATTCTTTAACGTACCAGTCCCTCGGCCAGATCTGCCGTCCCTGTGTGCACAGCGCTCACGTGATCGGCCCTCAGCCTGCACAGGATTTCTGAATGAGAGCGCTGGGCAGTAGCAGGCTGAGGGCCAATCACGTGAGCGCTGTACACACAGGAGACGTGGGCAGATCCTGGAGAGCGGTGTCTGCCAGCTGGCCAAGGGACTGGTACGTTAAAGAATGCTAAGGATCTATGTGAGAGGGAATGAGGTGCCTGCAGGGTGGGGGTCGTGTCACCATATTGTCAGATCTATTTGGCCGGCCCCGATGCCGATTGGCTGGGAAGCTGGCTTCCCGGCCAATCAGCATCCAGCCGGCCAAACAGAATGGGGGCGGCTTCCTGGGCAATGAAAAACCCTTCCTGATTGCCCGGGAAGCCAGCTCTATGCTACTGGAAGTACCGCTATCGGTACTCGGTATCAACAAGTAGCGAAATATAAGTATCGGTACTCGTACTCGATACTGAAAAAACGTTATCAGTGCATCCCTACTTGTAACCATTTGGACTTAAAGGAGAACTATGGGGTCAGGGCTTTTCCCCATAGTTCTCCTTAGGGTAACGGGAGGACACAAACTAGCGTCCTCCCGTTAGCCTAAGCTCAGTATACCGCGAGCTACAGCTCACGGTATACTGAGACGCCGGCGCGGATCCCAACATCGATGTGGAGATCCGCTGCGTGAGTGACAGCTGGCTCTGCCTATCTAGAGGCAGAGCCAGCTGTACCCTCCCCCGTCCGTTCCGCCAGTCAGCGCTGGCGGGGAGGGGTGAATCCAGCTCCTCCCCTGTCATGGCAGAGAGCCGTGACAGGATCGAGAGGTGAGCGAACGCAGGTATGTGTTCGCTCACCTCCCGATCTACTGAGCCGACCTGTGACAGTCTCATTGTCACAGGTCGGCTAGAACTATGAGGTGAGTGAAAAGCACTCACCTCATAGTTCTCCTTTAAATCCAGCCACGGTGTCTGTCATTGATTTGTACAGTCTGCTGGCTGTATACAAACACCCATCACCCCTGGACGCAGACTGACACCCCTTTTTCGATGGTGTACGGCCCTCTGTAGCCGTAAATGAGCCCTGAAGCGAGACATATCATAAACAATTCCTATTGTTCAAAATAAAATACCGGTTTTGACCTTTTTTATTTCAGCCTTTGTTGTTGCTGATCTCATGCAGCCACTTCCTGTCTACACGCACTCGCAACATGGCCTTTCTCAGGGCGGGTTTGCTGATGGTGACAACAATGGACCGTGCATAAGTAATGTGTGATGGAAGTGCTACTTGTGGTCTCCATTGGGAGAGCGTGTGAGAAGGTGACAACACCAGAGACTCATTTTCCTCCCCTGTCATGGCAGAGAGCCGTGACAGGATCGAGAGGTGAGCGAACGCAGGTATGTGTTCGCTCACCTCCCGATCTACTGAGCCGACCTGTGACAGTCTCATTGTCACAGGTCGGCTAGAACTATGAGGTGAGTGAAAAGTACTCACCTCATAGTTCTCCTTTAAGTCCAGCCACGGTGTCTGTCATTGATTTGTACAGTCTGCTGGCTGTATACAAACACCCATCACCCCTGGACGCAGACTGACACCCCTTTTTCGATGGTGTACGGCCCTCTGTAGCCGTAAATGAGCCCTGAAGCGAGACATATCATAAACAATTCCTATTGTTCAAAATAAAATACCGGTTTTGACCTTTTTTATTTCAGCCTTTGTTGTTGCTGATCTCATGCAGCCACTTCCTGTCTACACGCACTCGCAACATGGCCTTTCTCAGGGCGGGTTTGCTGATGGTGACAACAATGGACCGTGCATAAGTAATGTGTGATGGAAGTGCTACTTGTGGTCTCCATTGGGAGAGCGTGTGAGAAGGTGACAACACCAGAGACTCATTTGGAGACGGGACAGGGCATTGTCGCCACACATGATGCTTCACAGCAATACCGGTTTTCACCTTTTTTATTTCATCCTTTGTAGCTGCTGATCTCCTGCAGCCAGTTCCTGTCTACACACACTCCCAACAATTTCTGCATGGTCTTTCTCAGGGCGGGCTTGCTGATGGTGACAACAATGGACCGTGCATAAGTAATGTGTGTTGGAACTGCTACTTGAAGTCTCCATTGGGAGAGTGTGTGACAGGGTGACAACACAGGAGACTAATTTGGAGACGGGGGAAGGGCGTTGTCACCCCATATGACAATCGGGAAGCTACGGATTTAAAAAATGACTGGTTCATATGAGATTTTTAGTGATTGGGTTTACATATACGTTAATCATTCATGTCATTACCTTTTAGGATTAATCTCCGTGTCTCCGCGTAAGGACCATGAAAAGCAAGAGAGAGCTCTATAGACGCAGACGAGCGTGAGCCAGTAGTGGAAGCAGACGTAAGGTGGTCCTTGGATCTGAGTCAATATGGTGAATAAGCTGCTGTTGGCGGAGTCCCTTGTGGTCTTTTGTATCGTCCTCAGTATTCATTCCGTAGTATGGGATCGCTTCTCTTGGTGCACCCTGGCCCTGGCCGTGCAGGCTTTTTACGTGCAGCACAAATGGGACCGGTTGCTCCAGTCTGGCGGAGCGGTGTTCCAGTATCGCTCGTCTGCCAACAGCGGCCTCCTTCCAGCCAGCATGATCATCCCTTTGCTGGGCATTGTGATGAGGGAGAGGTGCAAGGCTTCCGGCAACGTCTACTTTGAAAGGTTTGGGGTGGTAGTGACGGCCACCGGAATGACCTTGGCCTACTTCCTCTCCATAATCGCACTGGGCATTACCAAACCTGTGCCGAAAAATACCTGCATAGTGTCCGGAGTCACCGGCTGCGCAGTACTGTATACTATGAAGAACTCTCTGGCCGTGTCAGAGGTTATCGAAGTTCTGGAGGTGCTCCTCATCTTTGTATATCTCAGCATGATTGTTCTATACCTGCTGCCACGGTGCTTCACTCCCGGCGAGGCCCTCATTGTCCTTGGCGGACTCAGCTTCGTCCTTAACCAGCTTATCAAGCGCTCTTTGAATGCCGTGGGTGGAAAAGGAGATCCCACGGAATACCTCCTGCTGGTGACTTTGGTCGCTTTGGTCCTGCTGGGCATTATCTTCTCGGCCTTGTTCTTTTTCATGGACTCTTCCACGTGGACCTCCTCCCTGTTTTTCTACATGATGACCGCCGTGTTAGGTCTGGGAATCTTTGTGCCTTGGCTGCAGTACCTCATCAAGAGACATCCGCTCTTCTGGCTGGCGGAGTTCCTGGTTCAGAGCGATACACGGCTGTATCTCCTAGTCTTCTGGACATTCCTGGTTCTTGTTGCTTGCGTAGTTGTTTTGTTTCAAAATTCAAAAAGGTCCACGGACTCCAAGAAGCCGCAAGTCTCCACCATAACCCGCAAGTACTTTCACTTCCTTGCAGTGGTCGTGTACATTCCCGGAGTCATGTACGATCGCCCTTTGCTCTACGTGGCCGCCGTGGCATGCTTAGCCGTTTTCGTGCTGCTGGAATATGTCCGCTACTTCCGTATCAAGCCGTTTGGACAGAGCTTACGGACCCTCTTGACGCTGTTCTTGGATGAGCGGGATAGCGGTCCGCTGATTCTCTCACACATTTGCCTTCTTTTGGGGATGTCTCTACCGGTGTGGCTCTTTCCAAGACTCTGTGCAACATCCCTTTCTGGCCCTTCCACCTTGCTCCCCTACTGCGGGGTTCTGGCAGTGGGAGTTGGTGACACTATAGCTTCCGTCTGTGGAAGCACAATGGGAGAAATTAAATGGCCTGGCACTAAGAAGACATTCGAGGGGACGGTCATGTCCGTCTTTGCCCAGATCATTGCAGTGGCCCTTATCCTCATATTTGATAGCAGTGTGAACATTAACACTGGCTACGTTTGGTTAGTGGGATCCATCACGTTGGTGTCGCTGCTAGAAGCTTTTACTACCCAAATAGACAACTTGATTCTGCCGCTTTACCTGCACATCATGTTTATGGTTTGAGGAGCTAAGATGTCTTCTCTCCTCTGTAAAAGTATTAGTCTATCCAAAACTGATATTTCTGTTTTCAGGTGTCTGATGTTAGGCTGAGTCATGTACTACCATTTTATTTTATCCCTTATGGATGGAAAGATATCTTCACCTCCATGTCCAGATCTATTCTAGGCAAGGAGTGTCTCTTCCAGATCTCATCACTGTAATTTTAGATAAATGAAAAACCCAATGAGGAGATGGAGACCCTATTGTACTGAGCACTGCGTGTGGGTGGAGCTATGTATATAAGTCTTGCTGCAGGAATCCATGCAAGATAGGACGTATGTAGATGATTCAGCCGGTGTTCTATCACAGATTGTGACTGCGTTAGAATGTGTGACCGGACATTGGTCACACATTCTAACGCAGTCCCGCCCATTTTTTTTTCCAGGGTGTGACCGGCAATAGGTGTAGAATTCAAAGCTTTTTCCGCTGTTCCTTGGCAGATCGGCATCGCAGATGGTATGTGCAGGAGAACCGATCTGCCCTGGAAGAGCTGATCGGTACTGAAATCTCACTTCTAGCCGACCTGTGACAGTCTCATTGTCACAGGTCGGCTAGAACTATGAGGTGAGTAAAAGAGAAAAGCACTCAGCTCATAGTTCTCCTTTTAAAGTTGTGTAAAAATAAATGCACCGCGCTAAGAAATACAGGCAGTCCCCGACTTACGAACGCCCAACTTACGTACAACGCTTACTTATGAACCAAGGTCCGAGACTGCAGCCACTGTAACGCGCAGCGTTCCACTAGTTACGGTGCTCGTGCCGACAATCACAGACGAGTAGTGGGTCTGGATTGTAGTACTGTACAGTACTGTACCTCCTGCAGGAAGTTGTTAGTGAGCGCCCCGCCTCTTCTTCCGGGTCTGGTACTGAACAGAAGTTGGCTTTGACTGTCATAACCCTGTATGTACTGTACAGTAACACTTTTATTTGTCTTCCTTGTTTGCCTGTAACAATGCCGAAAAACAAATCGGATACAAGTGCTGGTTCTGACCAGGGGTACAGACAGCAAAACAAAGTAACCCTTCACTATGCTATCCAAAACTAAAAAAATAATGTTTTGGCTGGAGGTACACCTAAAAATGTACATGTTCCAACTTGCATACGAATTCAACTTAAAGTGACATTAAACCCTCAGATTTTTTAACATAAAACAATACTGTAATGTGTGCCTTACTGTAATCCATGGTAGCTTCCCTTCTCTTTGCTGCTCTTCCTTTTAAATCTGTATCTCTTCTCATGCCGGGCAGAACTTCTGTTTTGCAGCAGACTGCCTTGTCTCTGGAATGGATACACGGTGTCTGTGTGCAGGTTCACAACCTGAGCCAGCACTACAGGAACTCAGCTGCAAAGGGAAGTTCTCCCCCAGCATGAGAAGAGATAAGGATTTAAAAGGAAGAGCAGCAAAGAGAAGGGAAACAACCATGGATTACAGTAAGGCGCACATTACAGTATTGGTTTATGTTAAAAAATCTGAGGGTTTAATGTCACTTTAAGAACGAACCTACAGTCCCTATCTTGTTCATAACCCGGGGAACTGCCTGTATTACTATCGCTGTGTATCACCATTTATCTAATGTAGTTAGTGTAGTTTTTGAATACTCTGGGTCAGATTCAGCGACATGCAAATTAGGCTAAGGCACCCTGTCTGATCTTTTTAAAGCAAACCTCTCGTAACAAAAAAACATTACACCAACTTGTAAAGTCAAATGCAGGCACCATAAGGTACCCGGTACATTGGGGTTTTTTTTTTTCACTTAGGCTCATAAACGTCATATGCAAACCACCAATTTACTGCATGCCAGAGTGCAGGCACTCCTCCATCCCACAAGGAAATGGTGACTTAAATAGTTTTTAGTATAGCAGCTTTAAACTAATCATGTTGCCTATAATATCTTTTGTAACAACAAGTGTCGGCTTAACAATGCAAAGAATAGTAATGTATAATACTGTGTTCTTATCAGAATCCTGCTTTCTTTTGTCTGCCGACTGCTGAAAGCAGATTTCCTAAGGCCTTGTTCACACCAAATGCAGAGCAGATCCGGTCAGGTTTCTGCACACGCACACTAGTCTTTTAGATGCGTTTTTTACGCGTTTTTGGCTAAAAAAAATAAATAATAATTTGAAAGTTTAAAATGGGCTTTCAGTGCGTTCCAGGCATTTGCATGCATTTTTGATGCGTTTGCAGATCCAGAGCAGGTAAAATAGGGCCTGCTGCAGTTTGTTCACCTGCTCTGGAATTGCACGCTGCAATGTGAACTGGAGCAAAAAATACCATTGGAATACATTGGACACAGTTTTGATCCGGTCTGCAACTGATCTGCTCTGCTCCGCGCTTGGTGTGAACAAGGCCTAATAGTTGTACAGCATCAGTCTTTGTTATCAGCAGCACAGTGGCGTAGTGGTTAGCGCTTCTGCCTTGCAGCACTGGGGGTCCCCAGTTCAAATCCCAGCCAGGTCACTATCTGCAAGGAGTTTGCTTGTTCTCCCTGTGCTTGCGTGAGTTTCCTCCAGGTACTCCGGTTTCCTCTCACACTCCAAAGACATGCTGGGAGGTTAATTGGCTCCTCTCTAACTTGGTCCTCTATGTATGCATGTGAGACCTTACAGTAGATTGTAAGCTCCTTGAGGGCAGGGACTGATGTGAATGTGCAACTATGTAAAGTGCTGTGTAAATTGTCGGCGCTATATAAATACCTGTAATAAATAAATGAATGGAAAGCTGTACTGACAGCCTATATACAGGCCGCCATTTTTGCCCTCCTGAAGATGCCAGTTTCCTGGCTTCATATGGTTTCAGTACTTTTGCTTTACTTGAAACAATTATGGAGCAAATGAGGTCGGACTTCGGAACTCCCAGTCTGCTTAAATGTTCCCAGTCAGTGACTCAGAATGTACTGAAGCCAATGGAATATTTAACATTAAAAAAAATTCAACTGGCCTTTTCAGAAAGAGAAGTCAGCAATGGCTACCTATGTACACAAGTTGCCTGTAAATCGATCCGGTCAGTTTTAAATAAAAAAAAAAAAGCAGATCCCTACAAAATAAACAATTCATATTTGGCTGTACCGCTCCCCACATCGCCAAACTCTGCTGAGTTGTAGAGAAGAGCTCACTGAAAGATCTTGGGCTTTGGGCATACTCCAGGTGTGTTGGATGCCTTGTCCTGTGCTATACTCTGTACTTCCTTCTGTTGGCTCCCAAATATAATTGCAGTACCATGTAGTGACCCAGGGGTTAGCAGAAGGAACCACAGCTTGCAGAGGCACTGCTGGCATTCAACACTAATGAAAGTGTCGAATGTTAGCAAGATGATCTCTGCAATTCCATGGGGTTCAGAGGAGTAGGGAACGGGACAGGTGAGTGTTGTTTGCTTGGTGGAATCTGTGGTTTACTCTTTTAAAAATTGTGATCGGGTCACAATTGCCAAATGCACCCAAACTCAGTGTTTCAGCGAATCATATACTGGTATCTTAAATCTCTCAGGGCTTCAAAGCCAATATATTTTCCATTGGTGGCAAACTGCTCCAGCCCAAGAATGATGTCACCGTCCCCAAATGGATAATCCAAATCCAGCTGCAGGAGTGACGTCGGCCAAATGGGCTTGTGGAAGGGTGTGGAGTCAAACTGCCTCTCTATTGGGGTATCAAAGTGACACAAGAAGCCAGCAATGCTTCAGCCTGTGATGTCCCAACCAGTGCCAGAATGACAGCCCTGCGTAAAGTCAGCCTATAATCTATATTTATTGTGGTTCGATTTCTAATGTACATTTAGATGCAGAATTTAAGCTACATGATAACACCCAAACAAAAGCTTTCATTGCCAAGCTTGTGCTAAACCACTAAAAACAGGCTGCTTTCTGTAGCTAAATGTACAATACACATTTGATGCATTTCCTAATGTGCAATCGCTAATCTTACAGGGTTATTCACAAAAGGGTGAGGAGTTTGGAGGAGGCAGGAGAAGTGAACAATCTAGGACAACATAACTGAAATGTAAAGTGAGCTGAATTGGAGAATTTTTCCAAATCAGCTATTTTGCCTAGATTGTTCACTTCTCCTGACTCCTCCAAACTCTTCACCCTTTTGTGAATAACCCTGTTAATCTGTTTAATTTATTTCTTCAGTATTGTGTATAATAAAACCAACAAAATATTAAGACAAAGTGACCTGCAAAATTAGATTTTTAGGTTGATTTGCTTATTTCTATTTAATATGTATGGTATTTAAATCTCTGTATCCGGTATGAAGTATTACAATTTTAAATGCTTTCTTTGAAGATGTATACAATTTCAAAAGAACAAAAAAAAAACAAAAAATTTCCAATAAAAAAAGAACACTTGAGAAATTGATGTCCGTCTATTTTGTGTTTCCATGGCGACAAAAAGTGAATGGCATATGCATTATTCAACAAGTAAATTCCTAATTTTGTTTTACCGATTTAAAAAAAAAAAAAAAAACTATTGGATAGGATAATGCATTTAGTTTTTATGGCAATAAAAGATCATCGTGAAGGCTCGCTTTCCCATGGGGAATGTCATGTGTACAAAGATGGAAAAGGTAGTTCCTTAGTTGGTTGCAACCTGGACAAAAAGAGTTGACACAAGGGGAAAAAAAGGATTAGTTCACAGAATAGGTAATAGGAAATATATGAAAAAGTTTTGCAATTTTTATTTTTAGCCAGCAGAAGTCGCTCCGAGGTCACGTTCACCTATTACCTGTTATCTCCTGTCAAAGCTTGCTTTATAGCTTAAAGGAGAACTATGGGGTTAAGGCTTTTCCAAACTAGCGTCCTCCCGTCACCCTAGGCTCAGTATAACGCGAGCTACATACTGAGACGCTGAAGCTGATCCCGACAATTGTGCCGGGATCCGCCCAGCTGCGTGACTGACAGCTGCCACTGCCTATCTAGAGACAGAGACAGCTGTACCCGCCCCCTCCCCCGCCCGTTCCGCCAGTCAGCGCTGGCGGATCGGAGGGGGGAATCCAGCCCCTCCCATGTCACGGCAGAGAGCCGTGACAGGATCGAGTCTCATTGTCACAGGTCGGCTAGAACTATGAGGTGAGTGAAAAGCACTCACCTCATAGTTCTCCTTTAATTTGAAACTGGGAAGTCCAATAGTCAATGCTGTAAAGAGGCAAGTAACTGCTGCAAACAACAGGCCTCTTTTAGCGTGTCTTAAAATGATAGTGCTGCAAATGTGAAAGGGAAACAAGCTCCACTTGCTAGCAAGAACTCAACTTTCAAATGGCAGAGCCTCTACTGCTCACTGAGGTTCTGGAATGTCTCATTTAATTGCCAGGCTTTGGGGCTTGATCCCCTCCCATCTGCAATCTGTAGATTAAGGTTCCCCTGCATGATGCCCTGTGCTGAAGATATGATAAGCATCAGGAGGGGGTATGGCTTGACCCCTTTCTGTCGGCAGTCTATAAATTAAAGTTCCCCAACACGATTCTCAATGCTGTGGATGTGTTAAATACCAAAAGGAGCTGATGCTTAACCCCTCCCTGCCCAAAAACTACAGATTAACATTCACCTGTACGATGCTAAGAACGTGTTAACGCGTTAATCAAATCCCGCGCTAAGAACGTGTTAATTAAACTCCTCCCTTTTATAGTTAGATGACATTTTGCATTGCTGCTAGCTGTTGAACTCTACTCAATGACAACTCTGGCCCCACGAATGAACGGGAACCAGAGAGTAGTGCGACTCTGAGAAGGATGCATAGCTGAGATCTATGTAGATCAGGTAAGCATAGGCCTGGGGGCTTACTAAAAACAAAGTGTAACTGCCATAATAAGGGGTAATATCACCAGAAACATTTCTTGTTCCGCCTGTCCATACAAAAGGGTGAAGAGTTTGGAGAAGGCAGGAGCAGTGAACAATCTAGGCCAAAATAGCAGATTTTGAAGAATTCTCCAATTCAGCTCAATTTCCAGGTCAGTTATGTTGTCCTAGATTGTTCACTTCTCCGGCCTTCTCCAAACTCTTCACCCTTTTGTGAATAGTGCTGTAATTACTTGTTATTGATAGCACGTTTCCCCAGATCCAGGTGCTTGTCTCCAGCTTCAGTGCCATCACTAATCCTGCAAGGGGACACGTCAGCATATAAACAGTACTGAGCTCAGGCATGCTTTCAGCAGAGGGGAAGGCAGCAACTGAGTTCCACAACAGGATGTGCTGTCAGCACTCATGCAGGTGAGTGAGTGTGTTAGCACAGGTCACAGCAGCCCAGCTCTGCCTGTGTTCTACCAAAGTTTGTGATTGCGTTAGAATGTGTGACCGGTCACGTGGACACACATTTTAACGTAATCACGGCCACTTTTTCGGTGGTGGAATGTGTGACCGGTCACGTGGACACACATTTTAACGTAATCACGCCCAGTTTTTCGGCGATGGAATATGTGACCGGCAAAAGGTGAAGAATTCCAACACTTTCTCAGCTGTTCCAGGGCAGATCGGCATCGCAGATCTATGTGCAGGAGAACCGATCTGCCCTGGAACAGCTGATCAGTCCTGAAATGTGACTTCTATCTGACTTTGTGACTGCGATCTTACATTCCACAAAGTCTGATAGAAGTGACATTTCAGGACCGATCAGCTGTTCCAGGGCAGATCAGTTCTCCTGCACATACCATCTGCGATGCCGATCTGCCCTGGAACAGCGGAGAAAGTGTTGAAATTCTACTACTTTTACAGGTGACACATATTCCACAAAAAAAAAAAGTGGCCATGATTATGTTAAAATGTGTGACCACGTGACCGGTCACACATTCCAACCCAGTCACAATCTTTGATAGAACACCTGAGCTACAAAATAGGAACACCCACAAATTGGGATTGTTGCAGGGGAGGAGCTGACAGACATTACTGGCAGACATAAAGAGGTGATATACTGAAAAATCATTCAGCGTTCCTTTTCACAAGCAGAGATAAGTATTTCAGCAGTGAGTACATAGACCAGCAGCTAAGCTTTCAATGCTCGTGAAACATCTTTTTGAAAGCACTTACCAGTTTTCTGGACTCCAGGTGCTATTTTCTGATTCCATAATATGAAAGGAGTAGGCATGACGAGAGTTTGAGGAAACGTTCGGCTCACTTTTGTGGACAACTTCTCCTTGGATAAGCACTAAGCTTCCTTGGCATAAGAACAGTACATTTAACCTCACACACAGTTACTCCAATGTAATTTCCTTTGCAATCAATGAAACAAAGATGTAGATGTTCTTTCAATAAAATTGCAGCAATCCGGGACTACTGACTCAAAGCAAATTGTGAAAAGAATACATAAGTAAAAGGTCGCCTTTCGTGAAAACCACCCCATTTCATAGAGTAATGTAACCGATAGAGAAATTGTATTGATGCTTGTTTAATTGGAACTCTGTCTTTATAGTAGCCTCCCATACTTCCCTGAATATCAGCGTTTAAGCTAGAAGAAGAGGGGCAGCATTGTTGGTAAGCCAAGCCTGTTTGGCCCTTTAGGGCCCATTCTTTTCTATAGGTGAGCTGTGGTCCAGCCTTCCAGCAAGATACAGCTCATCCACAGGAATAAATGGGGCCACGTTACACGTGCCAGCAGGAACATTTTCGCTGGAAGGGACTGGTGGTGCCAAGCAGGGTTGTACAATTAAAAACTCTGGAATGCGGAGCAAGGTGAATTTTTAGCATACCATGCTGTTCACTAAAACAGTGGTTCTCAACCTGTGTAACCTCAGGACCCACATTTGTCCTTGGTCATTAAGTCGTGACCCAAGTCGCACTGCAATGGAACGCATGCAATTAGGGTACCGTGCGTTCCGGTGCGAGCGTATGAACTGTGAGTGGGAGGTGCATTTGGGGTACCATTCAAATGAATGCATGGTAGGGGCAATTGCGTAGTACAGTTTAGCGCACTGTACTAGTGTGAACGGGCCCTCAAAAACCCTGACATACATACACAGACACAATCTCACACACTTACAGAATTCTCATGCACACTCATACACATTTTAAGATGCACCCAGTCTCCCTCTGGAGTGGATGCTCAGCCTGGCATCCGGTGTGGGCTGCAGTGCTGTGACCATACGTGCATTGCTTCTACAGCTCCCTTGCGCACCCTGTAGAGGTGCCGGGGGCCAGAATGTGACGTTACTCCGGTCCAGGCACCTCTACAGGACCCGTGGGGGAGCTGTAAGCAATGCATGTATGGATGGAGCTCCCTCGTGGCCTTAGCCCCATCCTATCCCACCTCAAGCTGACAATCGGCGTTTGGCAGCATATTTTAAATGGCGGCTTGGCGGGAGAACTGACAGTACTGCACTAGGGGGAGGCGGTGGAGCCTCTCACCTAGAAAAGTGGAAGGCATGCGGTGACCCACTGAACATGGTGTCGCGACCCACTTTTGGGTCACGACCCACCTGTTGAGAACCAAGGCACTAAAAGTTAATCAAAACTGCGTGATATGTTAAAGCGGAACACCAGGAGTGATCTTTTATGGAAACTTGCATTGGTCCAGCTTGGCTCAATGTAAGTATCCATATCTGGTCTCCAGAGATCCACTGAAAATCACTGTAGTAGTCCATACAGTACATACAGTGATAGCTAAGCTGTTCTCTTCTGGATGCAGCTCCAACGGTTTCCCCTCTGCACACTAAACACAGGGAGTCACTCGCTTGGCAATACCAGCATTCAGAGAATACAAGGCATTCTGTAGTTGGACATGGCGGAGAGGATTAGTGGAGTACATAACAATCTCCACCCAATCAGAGAACGATTTGAAACCATTGAAAAAAAAATTACAAGGCATTTTCTGAATGGCGGCAGTGCTAAGCGAATGTCTCCCTGTGCTCAGTGTGCAGAGGGGAAGCCTCACCCGGAAGATCATGGCTATCACTGGATGAGGTGTGGGATACAACAAGGATTTTCAGCAACCTCAGTGGCTCTCCAGATATCAGAGCTGGACCAATGTAAGGTTCCATAAAAGATCATTCCTAGAATTAAGGAGGGGGGTGTGACTGTTTATGGCTTTAGGGAGAATTACTTCCACTTATGAGGAAGAATTGATTATTGTTCCCTGGGTGTTTTATTTTAACTTCAGGGAAGTGGAGTATTGAACATGATAGATGGGAGTCTGTTTTCAGCATGGTCAGCTATGTAGCTGTGTAGCCATGTATGAGACAAATAAAAAATCACCTTTTGGCACAGGAGCTGGCACAAACAGGTCATCATTGTAGTTTGGCTCTTCTCCAATGAACTTTGTACAAGGGATCGTGCCAGGCGGCGTGCGCAACATGCGGCGCGATATTCCGTCTTTTTAAACACAGAAACATAACATTGGTTAAAGCAAATGTAAAAGGCAAGATAAAGCATATGTTAAGACCTCAGATCAAATGATCAGACAGTTCTAAGTGCTGCAGTCTACAGCTGGCTACACGTGTTACAATCTGATTGTACAATCATATTTGGATTCACTAATACAAGGCAATGTGAGGGCCTTCCTAAAGGATCCAATCTGTATCCAGTTAGGCAGGTTCTTGCACTACATTGTTGGTAGACCTAAAGGATGTGTGCAATCAAATTGTAAAATCTATGGTCTACTACTGTCCCAAGAGGTGGTGGGCTGTACATTGTGAAGGGAGATAAGATTACCATTATGCTTGAATATTGGGAGTTGGTGTATGTGCAGTATGGCACCGCCATCCAGATCACAGGCAAGTGGTGCACAACCTACCCATGCATAGGACCACTATCATGAAAAATAACCAGGAAACAAATCAAAACAGCTGTTCAGTAAAGGCCTGCTTATGCAGCAAACAGAAGAGCCGAGATAGAGTTATTATCTCCTGAACCTACTGCACTTTATACAGATATTCGTTATCCTGGACAAGCTAACCATCCTGATGCTATAATCTCCATTTCAGGAGAAAAACAGCATTCCTCAGCAGGATTTCAATCTCCATTGGAGAAACTGACCTGCTAATATCTTCTTTCCATTTTGGAGAAAACCACCACTACAGATAAGCATGTGTTCAGCAAAGGCATACATCTGCGGCTGGGAGTAAAAGCCGAGATGAGGCTAGAGATCTCCTGAACTATCTGCATATCAAGCTGAAATTCATTTATATCCATGGTAAAACCACCCCGATCCTCCTACTTTGTTCTATGGGCGAACATACACAGTACTGTGAGTGAAATCCATCCATTTTTTCTACACGTATGATATATATATTTTTTCATGTTGACTGTGTCTTTTTTCCATACACGTGTATGACGAGATCTGACATCTCCTTTCCAATCTTTGGGAATCCTATCCTTATATCTTCATAAAGGTGAGTTTTTCAGGGTGTGCCCTCTAACCAATGTTTATCCACACACATTTTTTCTTATTTATCAGCCGTATGCAGCCACTTATATGTTTGTTGATGTTTTTTGATATGGATTTTTTGATATATGTGCAATTTTAAATATATATAAATAATAAATAATTTTCTACGACTAATATAAAGTATATGGTAAAAATGTTGAAACAGTGGTGGGATCCCCTTTTTCGGGGAAAAATCGGTTTTGTTAACAAATTAATAGGGGACCCTCCATTATAAACAAATCAAAGCTTTATTGATAATTTATATATATTTCAAACCTTCCCACCCCGCAGTATATATATCATGAAAAATACTGTATTTGAATATTATATACAGTATATTCACTATATGAATCCCTATTAAAAAAACCTATTACTTGTTATTATCACTGTGGGCAGAGCTGTGACACCAGAAAATAGTATCTTTCACACACATGGCTGTGCCATAGCACAAGAAAATTTAGGGCCCATTCACATTAGCCCGTCCACTAAAATGCTGCATTTTAGCGGATGGGCTAGTGTGTTGTGGCAGCTCTGGCAGTGTGCATTTTATTGCACACTGCTGGAGCAGTCACTGTTTTACATTTTGTTCTTTTTTTAACTTTATTTCGAGTGTTCAATGTGTACACACCATTAAGACCCCTGCACTGCAGCAGGGTCTGCTGTGCTGCCGTGCAGTGGTTTGCGGTGCCATCCAGTGCACTGCAATAAAACACAGAATCTTCACTATTAGCTGTTTAGGTCTCATTCGCAGAAGTAAATGGCGCCTAAACAGCTAATAGAGGAGATTACAAAGGTACAACTTTCTTTACATGCTTGGGGAATAGAAAGGTTTACAAATAAACAGCCAATTACAAGATGAACTAGCTTTTGTTGCAGTATGTAGTTTAAATCCACAGCTCTCCACCGCAGTACTTCTTTTCTACCGCAAGATGTCCTCAGTCTGATGGCCAGTATCATTCAACCCACATCCTCTGTATTCATTTTACAGAGCTACACTAATTTGTGTTCTACATATCTGCCTACAGTTCAGCTTTAGATTAAGTCTATATCCAGTCCTCATGAGCCATATTAAAGTCAGGATTTTGTTCTTTACTTCTACTTATTAGGCCTCATTGACACGACTAACAGCCGCCCCGTACAGATCCATGCTGCGTGCACGGCCATATTTGGCCGCTCCCGGGAAGGAGAGGTGCTGCGTGTGATTTGTACGCAGCAGTCTGTTCTTCTCTATGTGCATCGTACGCTCACCTGAACTGCACGTCTGTGCGGGTGCAGGTGTTCCTGCTCGGACGCAGACAGGATCGGGTGAGCGTACGGCCACATAGAGAAGGATAGGCTGCTGTGTACAAATCACACGCAGCACCTGTCCTTCCCGTGAGCGGCCCGATACGGCCGTGCATGCAGCCCGGATCTGTACAAGCTGGCTGTTAGTCGTGTGAATGAGGGCTTAGAGTAATAATAAAATTGTGGCCCTTGAGCACTCCATTGGCGTTATACTGTAAACAATCAATAATACTGTAAACAATCAATAAGCATATTTACCATTTTGTTTGTCTTACCCTTATGAGAACCTGGAATGAACCACAAGCAGCCATTTTGTTCAGTAGCATCTTCAAGAGCAATCCAGAATCCTGTGATCTGACCAAGAGGCTCTGTGTACAGGAAGGTGGCGTCCTGGTGAGGTGTGACTAATGCAAAAAATTAAATGAAATGTATTTAAAAAAAGTAAAATACTGAAGAAGAAAACAAATGCAGCCACAATATTGAGGTATGTTGCAATTTCTGACATTTTTGGTTTTGAGTTTAGATGCACTTTATGTTTAAATCCATGGATAGTAAGTGATGTGCAAAAGGGAATTGCTGTGAATTAATCCATACATATAGTCATCTTTGCTGGGATTACAGGAAAGGACATATGGAGTATTTGTTGGGTTGGATCTGAGCAGAACTGATTGGGCTGCACTGACACAGAAGAACACTAGAACAAAAGCACTTTAGACCAGTGGTTCTCAACCTGTGTAACCTCAGGACCCACATTTGTCCTTGGTCATTAAGTTACGATCCAAATCAAACTGCAATCGAATGCCCAGCATTGCGGTACCGCTTTTTCCGGTGCAGGCGATCGAACTGTGAGTGAGAGGTGCGTTCGGGATGCCATTCAACAGATCCACCAAGTCTCCATACCTTACGAGAACTGGGGTGGATCCTCAGCCTTTGGTCCAGTATGGGCTGTTGTGCTGTGATGCATTGTGTGCATTGCTTGTACAGCTCCCTTGCGTGCCCTGTAGAGGTGCCGGGAGACAGAATATGACATCACTTCGGTCTACAGGACACACGAAGGAGTTGTACGTATGGATGGAGCTCCCTCATGGCCATAGCCCCAGCCCATCCCACCTCAAGCTGACACTTGGCACCGGGCAGCATATTTTGAATGGCTGCTTGGTGAGAGAACTGACAGTGCTGCGCTAGGGGGAGGCAGAGAAACCTCATCTAGAAAAGTGGAAGGCACACAGCGACCCACTGAACACGGGGTCGCGACCCACTTTTGGGTCACGACCCACCAGTTGAGAACCAAGGCTTTAGACTACTTCTAAGCAGGAACAGAGATTGGATGAGGTTTTCCAGTCTGAACAATTTTTTTCCAGCAATGGTCATAAGGAGATCATCCCCTGATCAAGCTAATATATGTACCATGTGTTAGCCAACATGGAGTCTTCCTTTAAACCCCAATTGTTGGCTATAACGTGAGATCAGCCCACCTGCACCAGTACAGTACATCTGCTGATTTTGTCATTTCATTATCAGTTTTCGGGCATTGTGAAACCATAAAACGGAAAGAATCAGAGGATTACTGACACACATAGATATGTGATACCATGTATATAGACGTATGCTATCTAGATGTTTTACCTTCTCCTCCAATGTTGGGTTGCTGGAACAAAAATAAATAAAATGAAGGTTGGTACAACATTGAATGTCATTACAGCTTTGTACATGTATAAACGACAGTAGGTCCCTGTATATATAGGGGGGAACCTGGCCTTGGGGAAGCAGGGAGAGTTAATACGGCCCTGAGCCCACAATAGGAAATTAGAAGCTGAGTGAATTTTCTGGCACATCAAGAGGTAAGTTTCTGCATAGGGATAAACCAGGGGAAAAAGTGCAAAAATTGCAGAGATGTACTGCACATTTGTTTTGCTTTGACATACACTGTCCAAGACCAACCTCCACCAGAAGCAGCTGCTGTGTGCACGTGTACAGGGATGCAGGGCCAGATTTACCATTAGGCGGAGTAGGCACATGCCTACAAGCGCCCTTCATAGAGGGGTGCCGTGCAGGTACCTACTTTGTCTAATTTCTGGAGTTGTGTCAAGATACAGTACCGGCAATAGGAAGAAGGGGGTATTCTGCATAAAATGCACCCTCTTGCTCCAAGACCAGCTACTCCTACAAGAATCGCAGGCTTCTGCAAATGCAGGGGAAGAACCCCGGCGCTGCATAAGGCTCCCCTGGCATCTCTTTGGGTCATGTGGAAGGGGGGGGGGGGTGCGTTAGGCAGAGCGACAATGCCTGCCTCCCCCTTTCTAGCCAGAGTGTCCCCGGTTGCTATGAGCTGGGAAGGAAGTTGTGTAAGGGCCATACAGCATCCTGCCCGCCTCCTCACAACCACCGACGTTAGAGCAGGGCCGTGAGTTGATGCAGAGGCCTCCCTTAGCCTGCACCACCAGCACCCTGACCCCCCGTCTGATCTCTTATGGTGTCAGGAAGATGGAGATGTTTACAGGCACCTGTGGCTCACAGGAAGGCTGCCAAGGTCTCCAGCAAGCACTGGACCTCAGGCAGCTGCATCTGGCAAAAAATGTAAAGTTTCGGCACTTAGTGTCTTGTGTCCGGGTGTCAGCTGGCCTGAAACCTGGACACAGGACTCAAAAACTGGACTGTCCGGGTGAATCCCGGACAGGTGGTAACAGAGGAGCCCGGGGAAGCCAGCAGCAGCGGTGGAGGGCACACAGCGCCGCACCGTACAAGCGATTCGACGGCTGTACAGCTGTCAAATTGCTTGCATTTAAACAGCAATCGCCTGCTGTTTAAAATGATACCAAGAACACGGCTGCAGCAGAAGCCTTGTTCTTGGTATAACCACTCCAGGACAGCATGTTTTTTTACAATGGGCGGTCCTGAAGCGATAAACTAGAAATGTGTAAATAATGTACAAATTTAGGTGTTTGAGGATTACCTTAAAAATATACATGCTCTGGACTATGACCGGCTTTACTAGGCCCAGTCGGCGTCCCACCTCCTGTACTGGAAAAAACAGAAATGAAGGTTATCTGGAGGACAATTCTAAAGAAAAAACAATTCAGAGAGAATATTCACACACCTGTATTTTGGAGGAATTGGTGATGCTTTTAAAGACTGGGACATAAGCATGTAGAGCTGAAATAAGAAAAAAGGTAAAGGAGTATTGAACAGCAAATGTTTTTATCTCTCCAGTCAAGGCATAGGCGCATTCATTTCAATTATTCTGATTAGACTAATTGCAATGAGTTAGAGCAATAGCAAAGCACAATTACTATGCTGCATTACCATGCAGGGACTGTGCCATGCATATGCAATGAACATATCTGTATGTAAATATAATTTACAAATATAAGCAGAAGGTTTTTTTTAACCCCTTGCTGCTGTCAGGAGCCGGCCCTTCAAGTGTGCCGTAATGCCAGAGGCCTGTAGGAGAGGCTCCTGCTTATTTGTTAACTGCATGCAAATGGCTGCACAGTGATGACATAATCATTGGTAGTTAATCGTGAGCAGCTAGTGACAGCTCGGTCACAGTTCTAGGGACAGTGATTGAGTGCACTCTAAAACAACACAGCAATGCATATATTTAGCAGCTGGGCATTAAGGTTCACTTACCATGCTGCTGCATATATGCATTATGCTGTCATAAAGGGGTTAACATTAGCACACACTGACAGATAGAAGATATAGATCCCCTTTGAAGGAAACATGTATTGAGAAAAGGACTTCCAATTGTACTCTGATTTTACAGATAAACATACTTGTTCCACATCAAAGTGCTACAGTTGGAGGGTAGCATAATAGCAAAGCAACTAGCATTTTTAGAAGAAGGTCAGCAATAGCAGTCTCCATATTTCTCTCAGAAAAGGCTTACTTTAAACATTGGCCATAGGGAGAGTGGATTTCAGCATGTCCCAGTCTCCTATAGCCCTTATGGCTGTTCCTCGGGATTGGTGTCCTGCTCCTTATATGTCTTATGGCTGTTCCTCAGGATGGGTGTCCTGCCCCCTATAGTCCTTATAGCTGTTCCTCAGGATGGGTGTCCTTCCCCCTATAGGCCTTATGGCTGTTCCTCAGGATGAGTGTCCTGCCCACTATAGTCTTTATATCTGTTCCTCAGGATGAGTGTCCTGCCCACTATAGTCTTTAAATCTGTTCCTCAGGATGGGTGTCCTGCCCCCTATAGTTCTTGTGGCTGTTCTTCAGGATGGGTGACCTGCCCCCTATAGTCCTTATTGCTGCTCCTTAGGATGGGTGTCCTTCCCCCTATAGTTCTTAAGGTTGTTCCTCAGGATGGGTGTCCTTCCCCCTATAGTTCTTATGGTTGTTCCTCAGGATGGGTGTCCTTCCCCCTATAGTTCTTATGGTTGTTCCTCAGGATGGGTGTCCTTCCCCCTATAGTTCTTATGGTTGTTCCTCAGGATGGGTGTCCTTCCCCCTATAGTTCTTATGGTTGTTCCTCAGGATGGGTGTCCTTCCCCCTATAGTTCTTATGGTTGTTCCTCAGGATGGGTGTCCTTCCCCCTATAGTTCTTATGGTTGTTCCTCAGGATGGGTGTCCTTCCCCCTATAGTTCTTATGGTTGTCCCTCAGGATGGGTGTCCTTCCCCCTATAGTTCTTATGATTGTTCCTCAGGATGGGTGTCCTTCCCCCTATAGTTCTTATGGTTGTCCCTCAGGATGGGTGTCCTGCCCCTTATTTCCCTTATTGCTGTTCCTCCAGCTGCAGTACAAACTTTGAATGGTATTGCTGCTGCCTGAATAGAACACCAGATGAGACTATCAAGGAAAATCATTTCACACTTGACAACCCTTCACAACCCAGGCACCATCGGGTATAGCAGAGCTTTAAACCAAAGCAGACACAGAGCATACACCCTAAAGTGGTACACTGGGTACCCAGCAACCTCATTTTTTTTCCCACACAACACCTTCTGATATTAAAAAGTCAGTATAGGGAACAATAAAAAATAAAACAAATTATTTACCCCAATTTTTTTTATCTTTTAGGGATTTCCCTATGCTAAATAAAGCCCCTCAGTAACACACATTATATGTTTTCTTACCGTGTCCTACTTTATTCACCGATTTTTCTCTTGCTACCAGAAATTCCCCTGCAAAGCAAATTATTAGCACTGTTTCATAATTTGTACTGTAATGTAGACAACATTGTCATTATAGTGTTCAACAGATTCTATCGACACCTGCCCTATACTTTACAGTGAAAATTGTACAATCTGTGTACAATTTACTCAACTAGAATGTAAGGGCCTATCTAAACAATCCAGTCAGTATGCATCCAGTTATTTAGGCCACTTTACTACACAGATGTTAAGAGATCTAGAAGATTGTACAATCCAATTGCATGTATAGGCAGTTTAACACTGCACAGTTTACAAAAATAAAGAAAACATATTTACTACCTTTCTGAAAAAAATATTTTGGAATAGATTATCTGCCAAGAGATATGCTCAAAATGTGGATTACCTTCAGAACACACATGCGCTTTAATATAGATGTTTTAAGGCCCTTTGGTACTTGTTGTGTGGCCCCTGGACCCCAGCAATCTGTAGTATGGTTGGGTGCATTCATTAATAAAGGGGTAAAAGCAGTGATTTTTAAGGCCTCATTCACACGAGAAAAGGCCGGCATGTACAGCTCCCGGGAAGGACAGGTGCTGTGTGTGATTAGTATGCAGCCCCCGTCCTTCTCTATGGGAGTACGCGGCCATACTACGCCCTACGCTCATCCGCCCTGCACGTCCGTGCAGGTGTCAGTACTCGTATGCTGACAGGATGGATGCTGTCTGCGTCCGAGCCGGGACACCCGCACCCGTATGAACCTGCACTTGGGGTGAGCGTAGGGTGGCGTATAGCCGCATACTCCCATAGAGAAGGACGGGGGCTGCATACTAATCACACACAGCACCTCTCCTTCCCGGGAGCTGAGCGGTACGCCCGTGCATGCAGCACGGAGCTGTAAGTGCCGGCCTTTTCTAGTGTGAATGAGGGCTAATAGTCTCATAAAACATGTCCCCCGTCTCTCACTGTCTTCTGTAGCATGTCTCCAACCAAACCTATAGCAGATACCTCTGATCATTATTTCCTCTAGTATGTCTGCAGTCTCTGACAGTCCCCTCTCTAGTTTGACGTATACTGGACATACTGGGGTTGATTTACCAAAAAAGCAGATCATATTCATTTTGAAAGTGAACTTACACATTGCAAAGTGTATTTTCACTTACAGGGCAGCCATCAGGGGGGTACGGCCGATACTCATGTAAGGGGCCCGGGCAGCCCTGGGGGGCCCGCCCGGGTTCCTTACATGACTATCGGCCGACGGTGAAGGGCGAGGAGGCCTGGCCCTAGCAGCGACACTGCTCATCTGATGTCGGACTGGCCGGAAGCGACGTCACGTTGGTGATTGTAATTTCTGATGGCTGCCCTGTTCACTTATCTCAGTGATGATGTAAATGTTGTGCTGACTTCAATCATCCAATCATATGCAAACACAAATCCTGTTTTATCCTTAAATTTTCTTTGCACGTGATCGAATATTCTTCACAGTTCATTTTCATTTTCTTCACCTCATTTACTAAGAGAAGTGAAGATTCATTTTGAAAGATGCTCCCCTCCTTTTTGTAAATCAGGAGAACTCCAGCTTGTAGAAAAATTAACCCTTGCAGTAGGGCTACCCAGCACTGCAAAGCTTAACTGCTTGTTTTTCTCTAGGGGCAATAATAAAGAAGCATACCTACAACCTGGAGGTCTTCTTTAAGAAAACAGATCCAGGATACCCTTGGTGGGTGGTCACATGATAGCTAGATATCCTAGAGTCCTTTTTACCTTAAAGCTGGGCACAAAAACTTGAATTTAAATATATTCCTGTGCTGTACATAGCCTGTGCAGGCTCTCTGCACAGGCTATGTACAGCACAGGAATATATTTAAATTCAAGCCAGCAGACCTCACCCACTACAGGCTGCCTGCAAAAAACTACAGGAGGGCGTAGATACAAGACCTGTTATCCTGCACAAGGAGAGAGAGCAGCAGTGACCATTCTTTCTTACAGGAAGCTTCTGCACGGATGCAAAGTTTCAGAGTATCTGGACACAAAGCACGCCATACTTCAAAGTAAGAAAAAACATGCCTTTTATATTTAGACATTATTTACTTATCCCAGGGTTCAGCTTTACCCTGTGGGCTCGCTATGGGCATTCAGGCATTTACATATGCTTAACTAAAAAAAAAGAGCTCTTACAGACCTCTGTAGTTGTAGGCATTCTGGAGCAATTTCTTTTCAAAGCTCACAGCAGAACACTAAAGTCATTCAAGTCCCCCTCTTAGAAGCTCAACTCATTCTGCTCTTCCTCCCTGCATTGCCTTGACAGCCTTCCTGCCTTATAACCACCAATGTAAACACAGAACATGTGCTCTGGGAAGGGGAGCAGGGTGAGCAGAGCTGCTCAGACACTTCTGGGAGGCAGGAGCAGGGTGGTGTGTGTGTGGGGGTGGGGGATGAATTGCTTCACAGTGCCTGCAGCTTCAGGGCTAAAAGCTCCTACTCAACCTGGATGCAGGTTAACTGAGTGTAAGCCTGCAAAAGGTGTCAAAACCCAAAGCAAATTTTCTATTTTATTTACACTTTTCCAAATAAATGGGATTTCTAATGATCGGAAACTCTTAGGACCTTTCTTTATGATAATTCTCACCTACTACTATAGCTGTCACAGTTTGAAGTGACCAGCATGCCGTACATCCCTCCATGAGTAGAGCAGCCACAGAGAAGCTACGTCCAAGGCTGCTTCACACACCCACATTGAAGCTAGGTTCAGACCCGAGCGATACCTGGGACCGTGCGATCATGTGCTAGTGCACACAGCGGTTGCCGCACGGCCCCATTGATTTCAATGGAGTGATATCCATGCGCCAATCGCTAAAAAAAGGTACAAGTATCTGTTTTTGCTACACACAACGTACGGCTTTTTTTAGCCGCGATCGTGTTCAATTGCACGGGCGGAATAGCAGCAGGAAACCGTGCGATCCGCCCAGTGCGAATAGGGTGCCATTAGAAAATATTGGCACCTCCAGTGCGATCGGCTGTGGTGGGAGACTACGTGACCGCCCCGCAATCTGCACGGTTTTGTGCACAATTACCGCGCGGTCAGGAGTCGCCCAAGTGTGAACCCAGCTACAGAGGTCAGTGAGGGCTTGATTTGTAGCCAAATTGCAACGCCAGTTTTTGGGTATGCTGTGTAAGAAATTCCAAGGCCCGAATAAAAATAAATGTATCTATTTAATAATAATATATGATGGGTAGATTGGAAGAAATATGATTAGCCAAAAGTATATATGGTTGCCACCCAGACGTGAATGGAATTGTAATTGGGCTTCTCTGAGACTAGTGTAAATAAAAGGAATTAGTTCGTCAGCATGCCAATATGCCCGGCAGATCTCAACACTTTGTTCTCTTTGAGATCAATGGGCACCTTGATATGTTTAAAATGTACAACTGGCTTTACACCAAGTGGTATTTTGGGAGTATCCATTGTTTAGGAAATGAACGCAAGATAATATGCATACAGTATATACTCTGCTCAGACAAAATGAAGCCAGCCAGGTTATGGATAACCTAGGTGTTATTAGATCAAAGGGACTTAAGCTGCCATCCAATCACTATCGTGAGGCAGCTCTGATTAGGTTTTGTAGACCAATTAGGGGTTTCTAATGATAGCGAATTGGCTTAGTTAGAATAAAGAGTCAGAGGCCATCAGAGCACGGGAAGCCATTTTGGGAGAGAGGCCCAGCTGAGAGGTGGCCCTCAGAGGAGAGGAAGCCATTTTGGGGAACCACAGTCCAGAACCTATGTAAAGCTTACAGGATGGGTAATAGCCGTTCATTCAATTGACAAGTTATGCCAACCAGTTTACAATATAATGCTTGTGTTGTAGAGGTATTGGGTTAGTGTTTTCTCTGGTTTAGTAGTGCCATTTCATATTGTTGGTTTGCTATTGCTGTGCTAGTGTTCCTGTGGCAGTAATCTTTGCTAAATGATTTATTGTTCTTGTTATTACTGTTCCGTTCTCTTTATCAATACTCAAGCTGTGTATGTTTAAATTCCTGTTACAATATATTCTTTTAAACCTACAGTTTATGGTGTGTGTTTCTTAGCTGACCTGCCACTCTCGAACAGTAAGAAGTGGGTGTTGATAAATAATATGGATATTATTTATTAATATTCATATTATGATTAGTTGAAATAACCCCAATTTTTCTTACAGCTGTGTGAATGGAAACACATAACAAACATATAATGGGGGTTTTCTCAAGTTTCACTGCAAAAATATAAATACTAGGGATGCACCGATATATCGGCCGGCGAAACATATCGGCCGAAAATTGCACTTTTGGCTCAATGCCGAAAGTGCCATTTTCCTGCCGATACATCGGCGCATCCCAGGTTTCTTTCCCGCCTGCTGGGCGCCGCTCTGTGTCCAGCGGGGAGGAGAGAAAGTGTCACAGGCGGCCGAGCGCTGCGGGAGGAGAGCGCTGTGAGCGGCCGGCGTCTCTCCTCCCACATCGCTCAGCTCCTATCACAGTGTGTGGGTGGAGACAGCCGCAAAGCGGTGTGTGGGTGGAGACAGCCCGCACTGTCACAGGAGGCAGAGCTCTCCTCCCTGCACCGCTCGCTCAGCCTCCTGTGACAGCGTGTATCAGAGAGGAGAGCGAGGTACAAACACTCAGTGATCAGTGAGGACATGGTATGGTTACTATATTCTTAATTATGAATGAATGGGAGTGATCTACATCATCTCCTGTTCCTTCATAATTGTAGTTATAGTAACCATACTATGTTCTCAAGTTATGAATGAACAGGAACACTCAGTATAGAGGATTCCTGTTCATTTATAACAGGGGATACAGAAAAAGAGATCGAGGACTCTGTGTCCACAATTTCTTTTTCTATTTTAAAAGGGAAATATCAGGGGTCTGTTTCCCCGAAGCCCCTAAAAGTAAATTAAAAAATAACAATATTTAATAAAAAATGAATGAATAAAATTTATATAACAATAAAAAGTTTATAAAAATTAAATAAAAATAATATATTTAAAAACATTTGACAAAATGAAAATAAAAAACATTTTCGGTTTCGGCTTGAAATTTTTTTTATTTCGGTTTTGAATTTTCCATTTCGGTGCATCTCTAATAAATACACTTTAAAGCTCATCTAAAGCTTTTTAACAATATGCAAATACTTAAACGTCCATAGCTTGGCCATGGGTTCACTTTGAGCAATGCGTCTGCTTAGTGCAACAAATAAATATAGATAACGCGCTAGTGTTACCTTTTTCATCGAACACCCCTTTCTCAAAAAAGAAGCGTATCTTGTCTCCACTGGTAAGGAAATAATCAGCACTCCCCTGTAAGCAAGATAAAGAGACGCTTAAAGGACCACCAAGTTCATGCTTCAAAAACATATATGAGTGAATAGGTAAATGTTTTAGAATTCAAGACGATGATCTGTGGAGCTGGGAGCAATACTTGCTAAAGCACATGTGACTTCCTGTGGGGTCATTTAAGAGAAGTATCTTTCCACCTCTACAATGGGACTCCTACCAGACTTTTCTTTATGTTTTGACTATAGAAGGAAAGGGTTAGGATCTCTGGCAGGAATTTATTGCTGTCTGCCTGCCTGCTGAGGAGGAATCCCTTCACTTCTTTCACCCGCCCTAGTCATGGTGGCCAAAACATTTTAGTATAGCAGGGAAAGGTCAGAACTTTTGTCAAGATTTGCTGCGTGTGTCCTCGATGGGGAGATTTCACTCCCTCCCTGCCTAAGGTGGTCACTTCCTGTCCCACAGTGTCCCACGGTGTCTGCATGCGGGTGCTCGCGGTCCATATACTTACCTTGTGTCTCTCCTCGTCCCCCGGACGAAAATGTGAACTGCGCATGCGCCCGCCCCAAGATGCTTTGTGGCCGCCCGAGAATTTTCACATTTTCGGTTGGGTGCTCGCTGTCCATATAGACACAGGGGACACATATAGGACACAGGGGAAGACACAGGTGAGTTTAAACCGCATTTAAAGCTTTTTTTTTACACTTTTTGCATATATCTACGGCTTGTAGCCCGACAGTGAAGACCGTTGCCCCGAACAGTCGCGGATCCGCTTGTAAGGTCCAGAGGCCCAGCTGAGAGGAAGCCATCTGAGGAGAAGCCATTTTGGGGAACCTCCTGCCGCTCTCGAACAGTAAGAAGTGGGTTTGATAAATAATATGGATATTATTTATTAATATTAATATTATTGTTATTCACATTATGAGTAGTTGAAATAACCCCAATTTTTCTTACAGCTGTGTGAATGGAAACACATAACAAACATATAATGGGGGTTTTCTCAAATTTCACTGCAAAAATATAAATACTAGGGATGCACCGATATATCGGCCACCGAAACATATCGGTCGAAAATGTCTGCATGCGGGTGCTCGCGGTCCATATACTTACCTTGTGTCTCTCCTCGTCCCCCGGCCGAAAATGTGAACTGCGCATGCGCCTGCCCCAAGATGCTTTGTGGCCGCCCGAGAATTTTCACATTTTCGGTTGGGTGCACGCGGGGAAGACACAGGTGAGTTTAAACCGCATTTAAAGCGGGGTTTTTTTTACACTTTTTGCATATATCTACTGCTTGAAGCCCGACAGTGAAGACCGCGCGATCGTCGCTGGAACGTCGCCCCGAACAGTCGCGATATCCCGGCCGCGTGGATCCGCCAAAGTCTTGGATACTCCAACAGCAGCGAAGTTTCTCTCTTCTCGACATAATTCTTAACTCTCTGTCCCTGTCCAGCTGGGAGTTTAATGTATTCCTAAGCATATTTGCATGTCCCAGTTCCACCCAACAGAGTGGAAACTGGCAGGGGTGCAGAAACTCTGCTCCGAGATCCCATCAAAAGTGAGATATAAGAAACTGTCTGGCAGTTTTCCTCCCCAGCATCTACCAAACACTGAAATATAAGTTTTGCATTGAAAGACAATTTTATTTCTATTAGGTATGTTCCTGTCATAGTACGCGTGACCCCTTTTCATACCTGGGCTCGGAGCTGTTCTTCTTGCTGTGTGGAGAACTCTGTTCGCAAGTGAGGAGGCACGTCCATCTCTTGTAATATCCTCCCCATTTCTTCTTTCATGGACTTGCATTCTTCTTCAGTAAACAGCCTCTCCAGAACCAGAAACCCATTTTCATGGAACTGCACATAAGACAGCCAATAGTTCATCCAAAAAAGTAACAACAATGGTGACAACTCAACAATCAGACTAGAGCTACAAGGGTGGTTTTAGTACCTCAGGTATGCTACAGAATTTGCTCGGGACTAATTGTTAGGAATAGCAATTGATCACTAAGCAGATTAAACAAACAGCTCCCTATGGAGTAAGCTACACAGTTAGCATGTAGTATCATCTGGTGGGATCAATTGCACATTAATGGACCATTGTACGATCATGGAAAACTGACTGTCACTACATTCTACTTCTGTAGCTTACCCCATAGGGAGCCATTTGTTCAGTGATCAATTTTTACTTCTAGGAATTATTTATTAGTGATTTTAGTAGCACAACTATGTTAATAAAGTCTATAAAGCCCTAGCCCAGGGATCCACAAACTCTTTAGCTCATCGACTACTTCTTAAAGTTTCAGATTGTTCGTTGACCCCCAAACATTACCTATATAAACATAATTTCATAAATAATACTTTAAAAATAACTTCCATCACTTACTGGTCACCTGTTGACCCCCAGACACTTACTGACCCCCTTTTAACCTTCAGTTATTTAATCAACCCATTGGATAGTCCCATTGACTCTTGGGGGTCAACATGTCATTGACCACTTTGGGGAACCCTGCTCTAGTCTGAGGTGACTGCAACTGTTCTCTAAATGTTTTAAACTTACCTCCCCTCCGACATATTTTCTGTGGCCTCCACCAGGAGTGGTATAGCCACTGCAGAAGTCTATTATACGTTTTAGTAGTTGAAGCCCCTCCATGGGAATGAATGGAGATTCTTCCCGGCATAGGTGGAAGGAGAGCCCAGCCTGGCAATTACTGCAGCGGTGGCAGTACAGTTCCCAGCTATCTCAACGGTCAAGGTCTCAGGGGAGCGTGAATAGGTGCGAGTATAAGACTTTGTGGATTTGCCGGGGGAGGAGATTGGTTATGTAAAAGATTCTTATACTAGAAGTACAGTTATCCTTTAAATCTCTCAGTAGCAGGAGATTAAGGCTAGGGCTAGGACAAGCGATTATGTCCTTTTGCTTCTAGGAGATTTAACTGCTTGTTGGCAGTAACCTTATCTGTAGCACACTGAAATTTGTAGCACACTGTGCTGCTAATGAGATCATGGACAACAAGTACTGTAGTTATATTTCTCTGTGGGAAAGAGATTTCATTGCCCATACATCTCTAGGCTTAAATCATTCATATAGCTCAACCCCAACAGGAAATGTTTCCTATTGTTCTAGTCAAAGTTCACCGTTAGGTGGTGCTGCTTTTGAACAAAACTTGGAGTTCATTCTGTACTTCTGCAAAGTGCATACACAGCCAGGAAGGCTACGTTCACAGATACAGCAGTGACCTGCATTTTTCTGAACAGGAAAAATGTATGTCATCACTAGGGCACAGGCACATAAAGAACAATTGCCTTCTCTGTGCTGCATTCACACTTCAACGCTTTCATGATGTACGTTGCAGTGCAGTGGGAAAACACAGCCATACTGCATCTTTCCACAGTGCACTGGATGACACCTCACTGCTTTAAGAGGACTTGAATGGAGTGTGTGCACTTTGCATTGGTGTGAGGAAGAAATGCCTCAGTGGTGAGACAGTGGTGGCACTGGAAGGAAAAAATGCTGCTGCATCAGAGTCAGTGGGAGGAAAACAATGCTGCTGCATCAGAGTCAGTGGGAGGAAAACAATGCTGCTGCATCAGAGTCAGTGGAAGGAAAACAATGCTGCTGCATCAGAGTCAGTGGAGGAGAACAATGCTGCTGCATCAGAGTCAGTGGGAGGAAAACAATGCTGCTGCATCAGAGTCAGTGGGAGGAAAACAATGCTGCTGCATCAGAGTCAGTGGGAGGAAAACAATGCTGCTGCATCAGAGTCAGTGGGAGGAAAACAATGCTGCTGCATCAGAGTCAGTGTGAGGAAAACAATGCTGCTGCCTCAGAGTCAGTGGGTGGAAAACAATGCTGCTGCATCAGAGTCAGTGGGAGGAAAACAATGCTGCTGCATCAGAGTCAGTTGGAAGAAAACATTTTACTGCATCAGTAGTGTTAGTTTGGGGAGGACTGCTTTGGCTCCTGTGACAGTGGGATTAAGGAGAGGAGCCTGGAGGCTGGGAGGGGGAACTTTGTGGGGTCCTGTGTGGCTTTATGGGAGTAAGGGAGGCTAAAGAGCCACTTGTCACATGACAAGTGGAGACAAGAAGGGCAGTCAGCACTCTCTCCTCAGTGGGCACCCCCTTTCCCTGCTCTCTTCTAGCCCTAGTAGGCTGCTTTTGGAGGGAGCAGAGAGACAAATTCTCTCTCCAGCAGCTTTTGCAGTTCCTGTTTTGTTTGACAGGCGTGATGCTGCCATTACTCCTGTCAATCAGGCAGCCGCAGAATGGAGTTCCCGCAATTTCCCAGCGCCTTCCCCTCCCTGCCCCATAAAAACATTGTGCCCTGCCCGAGTCATCCCAGCCCTATCTATGTGCACTGGATGCCTCTGCAAGCCACAGCTCGCAGTGGACGGCTATGCGGGGACCTGAACGGAGTGTACACATTGTACACTACCAATAAAGTTTTAAAAAATAATGTAAATAGTGACGGCTAGGGCTAGTGTGAATGGGTCCTCACCACCTGTTCCTGCAACAACTCTAACATTTTGAATTATCCATAACTTTCTTATAGTCACCAGGAGAAATAGTGAGAGTGGGGGTTTTGCAAGGAGGACATACAGTAGACAGCAATCAAAACCTGGCAGGAGTTCTTAGACTTCCTCACCCTAAAATAAAAACATTTGGGTGTACATACAATCAACTCAAACTGTCTATTGTTGTGTGACCATCATGTCATCTGTGTGAGAGGGCCTGTAGATTGATTTTTTTGCAGCCTATACCACTTTGACACACATTTTAGGAACCTAAAAACTGCATCCAATAGAAACAGCACATTTCCTAAGCTACATTGACCATTATTTGCAATGATGACCTTTATATTCAGCAATAAAAGCCAAAAAATATATTCTAACTACTATTTGTTATGCCAAATAATATTGAACCCCTCATTCACACCTGTTTCCAGGGCAATTTTGAAGTTTCTTATTGCACTTTTCTTGCGCATTTGATAGTTTTTATTTTAGTGGAAACCTTTTTACTAGGAGGAGGAGATGGCTGTTAGGTGTAAAATCATGTGAAAACAAATGCATGTTACGTGCATTTTTCAGGAATTCCCATTGAAGTCTACAAGACCAAAAACGCACAATTTTCCACTTTCTCAGGTGTGAACAGGCACCTTTGAAAATAATGGGATTCTTCATGTTGAACAATGTTGTAAACGCATAACAAAACGTTCATAAGGGAACGTGAATTGAGCCTTACTTCCTAAAGTGATTTCCTAGGATGTCTCGAAATGTATCAGTCAGTTAAAAAACAGACATTTCCAGGGACAATTCTTCAAAAACCTCACACTGCTCCTGGTCACAGATCTTACTATGTAACAACGGAACAACTTCTGCAAAGGTTGGCAACTTTCAGGTTTGATGAACTAAAACTCCCAGCATACCCTGCTAGTCAGCCATTAAAATGAAGGAGGCGCACCAGGAGTTTGAAGGAGACAGGTAGATAAATGTATCATTTTCCTCACCTTCTGGACCTGCTCATCTGTCACCAGAGCCATATTGAGCTGTGCAAAGCTGCCTGTGACGTCCTATCCAGGGGAGGGAAGGAGAAAACACAGCAGATGATCCAGGGAGATAAAGTACAAGGGGCCCTGCATTCCTCCATGACCATGTGACAGTAATCAGCTGACCAAAAGACAAAGACATTTAGCCAAAAAAAACAACCCATTTTTAGCATTCACTGTTATTTGTGAAAAGATTGAAGAGGCCTTGTCATACTAGTCTGAAAACAGCCAAGTAAAAAAAGGTGATTTTTTTTTTCTGTGCAGGTGTATAAAATGTAACATCATGCACAGAATTTAAGAATATTGCAACTGAATGGAATTTATTATAATGCCAGTAGTGTTGCTAGTTACACAACCCAGGCTTTGTCCATATGAGCAACACATACCTGTAGTAATATGCAGTGTATTAAAATAAATGTAATGGTGACTCGATGTATTAGCTTTTAGCATTAGGAAATTAGCATTGGTGCAGACCTCCCAGTGCAGAGACTGATGCCCTACCCTAGGTGTACTTCACACTAACCCGCCCTGTATCCATCACACAAACCCTCCCTGTAACCCTAACTCTCCCTGTAATCCTTACACTAACCTTCCCTGTAACCCTTGCACTAACCTTCCCTGTAATCCTCACACTAACCTTCCCTATAATCCTTACAACCGACTTTTGCTGTAGGAGCCAGTCAAAAATTTCTTGGGCAAATCGCCTCTTTTTAAATGTGTGTGGGGGGACACAGACTGGGGTTGTTTATGTTATTATTTGAAATGTACAGAGGTTGTAGTTTTTTTTACGTGGGGGGGGTTGATTGGAGGGGGGAGGGCAGAAGTGTATTAGGCTACATTCACAACTTTATTTTAGGTGCAATTAGGGATTTCTCCGTCAGTAATCTGTGTTTTCCTGCAGCAGAAATCCCTAAATTGATTGGTGGCAGGTGCGGAACTACCGCTGGTGCAGCCGGTGCACCGGGGCCTGAGCCTGGGGGGGCTCAGCAGACCCAGGCAAGGTAGGACAAGAGATAGGGGGGCAACCGCTGACCATCCATCTGGCCGCAAGTTCGAGAGTATTGCTGGGAGTTGTAGTCCCCTATAGCCATTACTATTCTGCATTTTTCTGTCGAGAGTATTGCTGAGTTGTAGACTCCTATAGTCGTTACTATTCTGCATTTCTTTAGAGAGTATTGCTGGGAGTTGTAGTTCTCTATATCCGTTACCATGCTGCATTTCTGTCGAGGGTATTCCTGGGAGTTGTAGTCCCCTATAGCCGTTACTATTCTGCATTTCTTTAGAGAGTATTGCTGGGAGTTGTAGTTCTCTTTATACCTTTCATTTTTATCGCTTGCATTTTTTCTGAGTGGGGCCTCATTTTAAAGTTTCGCCTAAGCCCTCGCAAAGTCTAGAGCCGCCACTGTCGGGAGACAAATGCCGAACAGATCGCAAGACTAAGGTCTTGCGATGGTTGTTCAGTTTATGGCCACCTTTACCCTTACACTAACCTTTCCTGTAATCCTAACACTAACCTTCCCTGTAATCCTAACACTAACCCCTCCCCCTATAATCCTTACAACACGAGACAGTGCAAAGTTTATTGGCCAAACTCCCTGTAACCAAAACACTAACAGTCCGTTTATCCATCAGACTAAACATTCTTATAACTCCAACATTAACCCTCCCTATAACCCTAATGCTTCCTGTAACCCCAACTTTAAATCTCGCTGTAATCAGGGCCGGATATCCCACAAGGCCAACCAAGGCCCGGCCTCGGGGCAGCAGGGAGTAGAGGGGCAGCAGGTGTGTGGAATTTCTATCTCCCAATCCCCGGACTGGTAGTTGTTTTCTACATTTAGTCCTGCTTTGGGCAAGCAGAGCTAAATGTACAGCGGGGAAGCCGCTGCTTGTTTTGTACAAGTGATCTTGGCGACGTTGCATGCAGCCTGCAGGTGTGCCAATCTACATTGGGTGGGGGGTTGGTGGGTAGGGGGAAGCTTTGAGGAACCTGGCCTTGGGGCAGCAGAGAGAGTAAATTCGGCCCTGCCTGTAATTGTAACACTAACTCTCCCTATATCCATAATACTAACCCTTCCTGTTACTTCTACACTAACCCTCCCGGTAACTCATTTACTAATCCTTCCTGTAGCCAGAACACAAAAGCTGGCCATACTTGGTGGTGTCAAGAGGGACACCCACAGTTCAAATGTAAGCTTTGGTTGGCCTTGTCAGCACCACATAGTTCAACAAAAGTAAATTTTTTCAGTATTCTTTTGTTGAAGAAGCTGGGTGGAAAATCGTTGCCTGAACAGTGATTATATCCAATCAGAACACAACAGCTGCTGGATACAATAGCTGGCAGGGCAGATTTCTTCTTCCAGCTGGATACAATAGCTGGCAGGGCAGATTTCTTCATCCAGCTGAACACAATAGCTGGCAAGGTATACTGTGTAATGTGACAGCTGTAGCTCGCGGTATACTGAGCTTTAGGTCACGGGAGGACGCTAGTTTGTGTCCTCCTGTGACCCTTAGGAGAACTATGAGAAAAACACTTAACCCCATAGTTCTCCTTTAAAGTATAATTAAAGCCTCCAGTGTTTAAACTTACCTGTGTCTACCGCGCACGCTCCCGTCCGAAAATGTGAAAATTCTCGGGCCCTCGCAAAGCATCTTGGGGCAGGCGCATGCGCAGTTCACATTTTCGGCCGGGACGCGAGGAGAGACACAAGGTAAGTCTATGGACTTGTGCACCCGCATGCAGATACCGTGGGACAGGAAGTGCCAGCAAGGACAGAGGAGTCAGCACTGGATCGGAGACCTGCCGCAGCGCTGGAGGGACAGATGAAAAGGACAGGAAAGAAGAAGAAGATCGGATTAAGAAACATAATTTAAGGTAAGTGCTTTAATTAACATTGCGGGGAGGGAATTTTTTTTAACTTTAATGTCACTTTAAGGTAGCAGTTATAACATTTCAGGCCTACCCATAATCCTTGGCATCTCCTCTGGCCAAGGAAACTGCTTTAATATGGTTCCACATAGTCATCACCTGAACCCTAAAACCTGAAGCCCTACAATTTATAAGCAAAGCTTTTTTGTTTGTTTGTTTTTGATAGAGAAGGGTTAGAAATAGTCAGATTTTTATTAATGTCTTTGGCTGAGCAGCTTCACCTTCTCTATTTCTCCTAAAGGTCATTGTCACTTGGACAGAAATTAATAGTAAATCCAATATTCAGTGGTTGCCACCTGAATACACCTCATCTCCAGCACTGTCCCCCGCAGTAATTCCATTCCACTAGTAGATATCCTCAATCTTCTGCATAAATGATGCCCAGCACCATCCAACCTGACTGAAGACTGAAGACATACTATTTTCTTTTTTCAAGCCCTTGATAGGTGCACAAAAATTAAACACCAGTGAACCAAAAAAAGTGCATGTGACCACTTAAAAAAAGGTTCAAAAGGTACGTCTCAATGGTCCTTCTCCCAAGGAGAAAGGGTCCTTTCCCTTATAACCCCCCCAAGTTGCAAGGCTTTTGACAGGGCAGAACACTCTGGTCCACCTATCTGATGCCAGACAGACCCCCCTTCCTTATAGTCAGTCAAAGCCGACCAACAAATACTAGGTTGGGACCTCCCCGAAGACAGGCCCCCCAGTTCGGAGGAGGAAGGAACCTTATGGCCACACATCCTCACACTAGACGTCAGGGTTAGGCTCAAAGACCCACACCCTTCATCCAGTGGAGTGAAAAAAAGGTGAAGTGCACAGACAAAGTGAGAAAAATAAATAAGGTGCCAAAGTGCAAGACAATGGCCAGGTATTGTGGCTTGGTATAAAACTGGGAGTTGAGAGGGCCAAGTCTGGAGTTGAGCATTAAAGAAAACTTTTCCTTAGAGAAATATGGAGAGTGTCATTGCTGATCTCCTTTTAAAGATTCTAGTTGCTTGGCAGTTATGTGGACCCGCTGGCTTTATTACTCTTACTATCATTCTCTGACCCGGAACAAATATCTTAAGGAAGTGTTGAAACGCAGACAATAAAATTCTACACAGAACAAAGTTTTGTCTGTAGCCGGAAACTCTAGTTACTAAGGCGAGCCCTGCCTGTCGATGATTTCACTTTCTGTTTTACCAATCTGCACAAACAACATGAAAGGATCCCGATTAAGCAGTCAAAACCCCGGGGGCACTTCCCTTAGTGGCAAACAGCAAGAGGGGATGCGAAAAACACATATACAGGTACTCACCTAAATTACTGCTGGTCTTGGTGTATGACAGGTAAAGCTATGCATTAGGCACAATGGCATGGCTGCTATGATTGCTGTTAGCGCTTACGACAAAATCTGAAGTACAGTACATGTAAATTCAAGTGCAACCAGTCAAAGGTTTTTTGTTTGTTTTGGATAGAGCAGGGAAGGATTAGAGCCCCTGTCATACCTTTTATATTTGTCTGTGTCCTTGCTGGGTAGATTCATCTTACCTATTTGTGCTGGTAATAACGTTACCACCTGTCCAGGATTCACCCGGACAGTCCAGGTTTTGAATGCTGTGTCCAGGTTTCATGGCAGCAGAAACCTGGACACAAGACGTCAGATAATTAAGATAGGCT